AAGACGGTTAAAATTGTGATTTTGTCGTATCTGCACTAAAAAGAAGTATTTCTAAAGAGAGTAAACAGTTAAACAACCTTCATCAGAAAAATCTTCACTATCGTCGCATAAAAACCCCCTGAATTGACCATGCATATCTTAAAAAGTATCTTGAGACTATTTGGCAAAACGATGGGAAAATTATTTGTTAGAAATTTCTTTCAAATCATTTTAAATTTATTTAACATATCCGCCTCTGCATTATTTGTCATAGCACAAAACTAAGCAAATGTATGATGAAGACATTCAACAAAGTTTACCATGTCGCTGTTTATCTAGGACTGGAAGTTTATTAGGCAATGGTATACTGTCAGAAATAGCTTCTTCCCGTGACGTGCAAGGAGCAACTGCATCTATCTGGAAATATTCATCAGTTGAATACCTATTTCACTGTTGCAATTCCGAAGAATTCTGAAAGTAGAAAACTGTTAGCAGATTACAGCTTCCATGTCTAGATAGCAAAGAGAGTCATTCTCAAAACTATCTTCGAGTTGATCGTCGTTCTCGTCAGTCTCGTATGCCATCTGCACATCCGAAGCATCATTAGAAAGCCTTGAATTCAAGATTTTTACTGAGGTATGACGGCAAAATTTGGCAACATTACAGTCAAAAGACTAAAACAGTGGAAAGAAACGTGCAACAGCCTAAAAAGTAGCTAATTTTTGGAACGCATCATAAATCAAAAAAGTTTAAATTAAAAAATTTTATATAGAGTACGAATCGCTGTTCTTACACTGTGACAGTGGGGACTTCTTTATTATCCTCTGCCATTACTTCTACTTTATTATTAGTATCCCAAACATCCACATTTGAAGACCCAACCTGAAGGTAAAAATTAAAACTAAGAAGGAGACGTGAGTTTACCATTATATAAATGTCGAATCATTCCATCTCAACTTCAGTACAAATACCGCCACTCCGTAATAAAAATGATTCGAAAAACAACGGTTAATTCTGTAAAATTTGCGTTACAATTTCCACTTGGCTACTGAAGACTTCGTTTGACGAGTCATGGAAGCTAATGTCCTCATTCTCCGAATCATCTATAATTTCTTCTCCATAGTCCTGAGATGCTCGTTTCACGGTCAAGTTCGTTTTCTGTGCCGGCTTGTACATTGGACACTTAATTATAAAAACAATCTACGAATTTTTCAGGATAATTAATACAAAAGTTTCCAAGAACTTCAAACAAGTAACTAAGTTGTCTCTCTAAAGTAGTGGCATACACTGAGTACAGCTTTCAGTAAATACCTGCGTAGCAAACTCGAGTGCACTTGCTCTGGAAGTGTTTACAGGAGTATTTTGCCTCGAAGAATCTACAAGAATTTCCCGTTGATTACAGAGAGATCTACCAGTATCTGTGAGAGATTCGTATGATACCTTTAACAAGAGCTTGTTTAATAGAACAGTAATTAACTTTGGAAAAACTAAAAAATAAATGCCGAATAAGTCTCGATCAAACTACCACTTTTAGGAATAAATTAGTAAGGTTTTATTAGTAAGCTTTTCTGCAAATGAATGTACAATTCAAGCCAAATACTGTATATATATGAACCATGTTTACCTTTTTTAAAATTTCGCCTAATTTTTCCTCATCGACTTCCATACTTTCTAAGCACACGGCTGAACCTGCCGAAACCTTCTTGTTCTCATCAACCGTTATTATGACCTCCTGCCTACTGACATGGTCAGACGGTTGAAGGTGGTCCGAAACAGCCTCTTGGCCGTTGCCCTGCGGTGATGAAGTCGAAGGTGAAGCATACGGATTTTCCAAATGGTCCCCATTGCAACACTGAAAAGAATACCGACAACTACTTTTTGAACTTCTTCTCCATCAGAATAACCAAAAAAAAAAAAGCTTCATAAAAAGTTAAAAAATTGTGGTTAAACAGTGCAAAAAGCACGTTCCAGAATCACAGAAATCATAAAGCAAGCTTACCAAAAAATTGGGGATTTGAAAATTTTTGGTTGGAATTACAAAACGGTACTTTCCAAACTGCACCCGTTCTCTGCAATTCACATTGTCATACTGTTGTTTCGTCACCGTACAATAGCCAGACATCTAAATAACCATAAAAAGTTTTTAGAAAAAAGTTATTAAGCATTTACCACAAAAGAAACCTTAAATTTTTTTTTGACGACATTAATAGTATGTTTAAGACGGACAAAAAAAAGAAGAAATCTGGTTTTTCCCGTGAAAAAAAAAAAAAAAACATTTGCATAACTTTTACAAAAATAAATCTGGCCAAAAATCTATGTGGTAAAGTTAGCATAATAACCGCATAACTTTAAACCGGTAATGCCAATCATAAATCTGCACTATACGGACCAATTAATGAAATTTCACTACGATGGCTGCCTGTTTAAAAAGCAATGGTGATGATAATCCGGTGAACATGAATTTTAGTCTTACATGGCTTCAAGATAAAGATACGAATAAATTCACCAACAAAGTCTAAAACTACTTTTCAAGAAAAAAAGAAAGCTCCATACAACGGAGTTTCAGAGATGCAGTCGTGGAAAACTGAATTTTGACGACAATAGGGAAAGTTTAAAATCAATAAAATTTAAATTCTTGTTTTTTGGCGCCAAAAAGATTAGCTGTACCGCTTCAATGAGGTGACGCCAGCCCATCTGGCCCTCGAGATCCTACTGCCTTTAGGTGTGTACGTGTATACACTGATGATGCGGCACTTTTTCGCTTTGACGTCTGCAGTTGCAGATCTTCTGGAAAAGAATTTCTTCTTTTACATTTAGTGCCTCCTTCACCGCTGAAGTCATCCAAAAAAGAATATGCTTATGATGATGGAGTATCGGCAAAATGTAAAATTTTTGGAGCAAACATTTCCTTTATTTTTTACAATTTCTGTTAATCAAGGCTTCTCATGATATTTATATTAAAACTATGTTTATATCTAGATTTTCTGTATTTCTGCCTATGCAGTCATTTGTTATCTGAAAGATATTTCCTCGCGTACTGAATCATGCAATATTTAATTTGTATTGTTGTTTATTTTTGTTTGAAGCGTTGTTCTTATGATTGTCGATGGAAATTTGAAATTTTTTTGGTTATTCACGGTTGCTGCTTCAAGTTCTTTGGAGGATAATTGACGTAACCAAATAACTAAATTTAAGAACAACTGTAGTCTTTGCCCTATACAGGTGTACATTAATTATGAAGAAATAGTTTAATTTGTGGTAAACAGAGACTGTCATTGTGTAAGAGTCACTAATCATCTGTGAATAGACCCCTTGCTCCCTTTGTAACTAGCGAGAAAAAGATTTTTCTGTACGGTTTGACCTTATTTTTCTGCATGAGCGTATAGAATTATTTCCGTAGTTAATGTCAGGCTTACTAGAGTTTGTAAAATTGTATCTCTACCTGAGAGGATTTTCGTATAATAGATGACAAAAAAAAGTGTTTGAAAGAATTTTATTTTTTTTATATATATATTTGTAAGAGAACTGCATTGATAAATATTAGATTGGAGGATAGGATTAATTACTTTAAAAGTCTAGGAGACGGTAAGAAGATGCCAAAAAGTGAGACTTACGGAAAGCTGGAACATTCCTAAGATAATGTAATTTTCAAAACTTTCTTATTCTTTATTGTGAACCTCACTTTCCCATTTCTCGGCAATTTATCCCATCCATTTTTGGGACAAATTGAGATGTTGGGTCTCATTTGATTACTGAGAAGAATCGATGATTTGTGAAAGTCAAGTGGATACTGGCCGTGTCGTTGATCTACCTCTGCACCTGTGTAGGCGCAATGTTTGCATGGAATCTGTAATAATTTTGTTTATTCACTTGGTTGATCCGCAGGTATGTAGTTCTTATGAGGGCTTTCCTAAGTAAGAAGAAGAATGGATAGAATGGATCAAAAAGCTTCAAGGGAGCAAACAGTTGCAGTCTGAGAACGGAAGAAGCCAGTCTACGCGATTTACGATTTAACACTTCAACCTATGCAGTGCATCCAAAGAAGTTTTTCAGTGGATTGCTTGCCTTACTTGATTTAGACAAGCAGCAGCGCAGTTCAGTGACCCCTGCGTCAACGCAACATAAGAGACTTCAACAAAAAAACTCCTAACGAAAAATTAAGAACCCAGTCTAGAACGCCTGAACGATAACAACAGCCACTGTGGCGTCATTCAGCGGATTAAGTCAATAGCTTATGTCGTACCAAACCTTTAATCGGGATTGATCGACGCCTAAAATCTAGTTGACGGACAATCGACAGACTGCCGTATACCTGCAAATTTTCTTGTTGTGCAGCATATAGTCAGCTCAAACATCAAAAAGAATGGTGCGCAAAATTTTCTCAGTTTTAAATGGTTAGTAGACTGTAGAACGCGTTTCTTGGAACAAAAGATTTGCAAAGAAATTTGGTCTTCCTTCAATTTAGCGTTTTTTCAGATTGTTGGAACTTTTTTATTTTTGAATAAGGACTTGATTTAAAAGCTTTCAATGTTGTTATTCCAGTGCACACCAATGTTTTTTTGGGCCCGAAGGACGTTCTTCTTTCTATAGCGCAGTGAAAAAGTATTAATTACAGCAAAATAAGTGAGGCCAAGGGAAATTCGGAAAGAAAGTTATCCCGGGTACGACGAGTTTTGAAACAAAAGCTGGGATAGATTCACCATAGTTTGACTGAAAAAGATTTTTTACTTGCATTTCTCTGATAAATCACTTCATTATCAGCAAGTTACTGTAGCTGGAGGAAGTTAATTTTGAAGTTATCCACGGTGATGAGTTGCAACTGAGGCATTGTACGTGTACAATTTACGGAGCACCGGCACCAGGAGAAGGCGCTGTTTTGAAGGTGGTGTTTGTTACTTTCACTCTGTGCTTATTAATGTTGTTTTTTCCCTTGTGGTTTAGTAAGATTTCCTGATGGTTTTTGCGTGTGTTTAGTACGCTGTCTTATTTTCTGCTCATTTATTGGTACCTAACTCACCTCCCACAGTTCTTTTGCAATTCACTTATATATTTTCCTTTTTGCGGTATCCCGAAAATC